CAAAGTGGCAATGTTTTGGTGTACACAAGAGAATGAAAGGAGGGCGTGCTTATTTGTAGAAGTCAAGCTCCTGATCGCCCTTCTTGATGTTATTTTTGTAGCCCTTTTCAAAGTCCTTGGACAGCACCACATATCGGTTTTCACGGACAGCCTGCATGCCAGCCTGAAAGACGAAAGACAACAAGGTTAGTAGTTACAATATACATCGGAACCCTCGACTGCAATCTGAATTTCAAGAGAACTGACGCCAATCAAAAGTACATGACGTGTTTGGGCTACTGTACACCATCCGATGGACTATGGTACATTTGCACTTGTCAATAAGTCGTCAGAAATGCACTCACTTCTTGGCAGATCGCGTTTATATCAGCGCCGGATATTTTGTCAGGGCGAGCAATGTAGTCCTCAAGGTCCACTTCGTCACTGAGATTCATTTTGCTGGTAATGGTAGTGAAGATGAGTCGCTTCTGTCGACGATCCGGAAGGGGAAATTCAATTTTTCGATCTAAACGGCCTGGACGTAGGAGGGCGGGATCCAAAGTATCTGCCCGATTGGTTGCCATGATGACCTAAATAAACAGCGATAGTGATAATGGGAACGGGTGATAGATTGTATTAGCTCGTGCTGATAAATTAAATCTTCGGTCAGAGACCTACTAAAACAAAGTTGAAGTGGGGTTAGGAATATTTTTTTCCGTTCGATTTGTAAGCGTGAGGCCGATGCGCGGTACCCATATCAGGATGGTTTTGCATGAATAGTCTCGAAGGCTTCTGTGAAAGAAAGCCAACCCTGTCGCACTCCTGGCCGAAAAGATTGATTTAAGGATGAGGGGCTCCATAAACTCAAGTAAATTTCACGCGTAAGTGGGTTATCAGTGAAAACATTTCCGATCTTGGATGACAAAAAACAAGCTTGTAGCTGCGACTTCATAGGCTTTTCCTTCTTTGCTCACGGAGCAGGTAACTTGGGCACAAATCTTGAACATAATCTACTCAAGTACTTCATAATTGATTTTTCCTTGTGAACGCTTTGGTAGCTCAGTATTCATATACCTAACTAAAGGGACGTTGAGAGCAGAGGTTTAAAAGCCGAATGAGTGGACTAGCATCTACTTGTTGCGCCTCATACATTATAGGTCAGCCCCTTCTGCAACCTGTAGGAAGTGGTACTTCGCAGCCGACAGGTTTGCCTTTCGAAACTGCATGACTGGTTCGCAGAAGAATAGGCTTCGCTAATTAAAATTTACTTTACTGAGACAAGACTGAATTTAAAATGCATATTACCACCTAAGAAGACGACATGCTTTTCCCTATTCCTGCGAACCACGTCGAGGAACATTAGGTCTGTCGAGCATCTATCCGAAAGGTAGTGAAAAACTGAAACAGCCTGGAGGATGTGTACAGAAAAATTATTCACACGAGCTTGCAATGCAACCGCAGTGGATGCGATAACTAGAGTTGTAAATCCCTGGCTGGACAGGCAGCAAATAGAAGCA